TCTCGCCATTGATTAAACACATAGCGAGCACCGACAAGCTGAGGCTGTGGCCCTGCTGTCTGAGCTCCTCGCCGCCTCGGAGAATATCACGGATGACACGCACAGCTCCCCCGGGACATCACCAAATACCCGTTGCTGCAACTTTTGCTGTTCTAGCGCCGGGTCGTGGCGGATCAACAGCTGCATCTTCACTCCGCCGCGACAGTTCTCCTGAAACGTTCAGGCACGGTCCCACCAGCGTTCCTGGGTGATTACGTGGAGTAGCCGCAGAGCCGCTCTCAACTCGGGAGGGTCATCGCGGAAGAGGTCGCCCGAAAGAATGCGTCCCAGGAGGTGCAAGTCGGATTCGGTCTCCAGCGGACGGCCCAGCAGCGCAACCGGGTGCTCGCTGAGCTGGTAGACGAGGTCCATGGCCTGTAGAGCATCGCGTTTCTGAGCGCAGTTGGTGTGGCGGGTGCAAGCAACGTCGCACGTATCTTGGCGGATACAGTGCATGTAGCCAACGACGCGGTGTAAGTCGATTACCGTTCCAGCCCTCGACGAGGTACCGGCCGGATTTGGGATCTTCGTGCTTTGAGGGCTCCCAGATATAGGATAGCGCGACATATCCTTGCTCTTGCTTGTTGAAGGCATTGATAGACGTGCGGCACAGCCGTAGGTCTTTCGGCTGGAGACACTGGAGGCAGCCGATAAAGGAACGACGCTTTGCGTGTTCTCGTTGATTGCACTCACGCCCTATCTCGACAAGCTGCGTGACAATGGACGCCCTGTTGCGCAGGCTGAGGTCGTGAAGCGACTGGCCCTTATCGTCATGATCATTCATTGTGCCGCCTTGGGCGATGAGAGCCAATTTGGAGAGAGCGCCCCTTCTAGGCTGCTAAGGACTATAGGGGAGAATAAGTCGAACGATTGTTTTGATGCCAGTTTTCCAGTGCGGGCGGCAACCATCAATCACATGGTGGCGAAAACAAGAAAAGAGAAACCGACCGCCCAGTTGAGCCAGTTATTGCCAGTGCTGTGCTGGGGTTTATGCAAGCCATTCTGGTCACGGGTGCTTTGGTGCTTTGGTCGTATTTGAAGCCATGAGCAGCTTGGTTCAGTAGATCAAAACCGGTAGCGAGGCGGATAAACGCGGCTCAACATCGCCAGCCTGAGTTTCGGTGTGACTGACATCGGTAATATCGCAGGCAGTTGCAAGTGACGGGCACTGAGATGTGTAAGGTTAATAGAACTTCTGGGAGGCAATGCGGGTTAGATAAGATGATTTATTCTACATACCAATATCACTATCGCTCCCGCGCTGTGTTGTGAGCCAACTTTGGCTCAGCTTTCCAGGAATTTCCTGGATATAACCCATGAGGATTTCTGTTACACGTTCATATACATTGTTTGTTCTGGTTCTAGGTATACTGTTATACATCGCTCTATAGCACATACATATGAAGAGTACACGCCCCTTAAGCACTAGTAGTCTCACTCTCAGCCTCACCCTCTTTCTTACCCCCGTTAGCTTCCTCCTCGAGTTGCGTCCGTCTACCCTCGAGAGCCAACCACAGGCCCTTGCTGTGGCCCTCCAAGGCTGTCGTAAGACCGAGGCCGGCATGTTGCAGCAGGGAAATGAGTTGCGCCCGCAGCCCATCGAGACCGCCCTCGATGCCGCCAACCCACTTAACTCCATCATGGTCAAAGGCCCGGCCCTCTATCCTGCCACCGACAAGGAGCAGTTTCGAGAATCCGCTCTGGGCAACGGGGTCATGATATCCCGGGTACTTCTTCCGCGAGGGCGCAGGGAACGCCGGAGGCGAGGGCGCGAGAACCTTCAGCGCGGCCGCCAAGTGTGCCGGTGAGACGGTAGGGAAGGTAACGGCGGCAACGGGCCCCATGATTAAGGGGCTGATCTGACCGTAGATGGATGACTCGTCAATGGTCGCCTTCTGGATTGCCTCGTAGGCTGTCTTGGACAGATCATGTGTGTATGCGTTTGACTCTTTAGCCGCATCCTCGGGCTTGAAGAAGTCGACGATTTTACAGGCGACGTTGAACATGCGCGTGCGCAACACCTGCATCTCGATGCTCGATGTGATATCTAGGGGGACGACGCCGTCAGGTCCGGCGACGTGGGGCGGGACCTCGGACAGGGCGGCACGCAGCTCTCGCCGCACGGCGGCCCATTCGACGGCAGTGAGGTTATTGTGTTGGAAGAAGAGCATCAGAGGCGTCGACCGCAACAATGCCGTGTATGAGCGAAGAAGCTGGGCCTTTCTCAGCTCGGGCCGCCGGGCGCTTGGCGGTTGGGTTGGGGGGATATAGTCGTCGGGCAGCGTCAAAGCGCCGAGAGGCACGGGTGAGCCTGCGGTTGCATACTGCCTCGAAGAAAGCCTCGTCGCGTTTTGGGCAATGAAGGCGGGCGCTCTCGTAGAGCTTGTCGTCGTTCGCTGCAGAGCTCGCGCGACGCTGCTGCGCGCGGCGCAATGGAGCCGCGGTGGCATCATGGACAATTCGGCGGATCCCAGCGGCACGCCCTTGTATGGAACCCCTCTCCCTCGACTGGGATGTCGTCGTTATTGTCGTTGTCGCCGTCGTCGTTGTCGTGGAATTGGCGAGCGTGAGGATCGCTCCAGACCAGGCTTGTCGCAAAAAGCTTAGATGAAAATAATTGGACCGTTGCCTGCTTCCGCTTCCTTCCTTCAATGACCGACAGGGGTACCTAGGCCAGCCTGGGGCGTGTCGGTCGGAGGTCGGAGGTTTCTGCCCCAGACCAGGCGGATCTGCTCTGTTTCACCGCCTCGGCCGATAACCACCGATAAGGACCCTAGCTCCCTCCAGCTACGTAGGTACCTACCCTTGCCCCTCCATCGTCTAGGCAATTGGAACGACACCGATGGCGGGGCAGAAAGATCGCCAGCAGCCGCAAGGCGTCGCTATCCTATCGCTTGAGTCATCGGTAGCAACGGAGGGGTCGACAATTCGAATGCTACGGGCCAATTTGGTCGTTTTGGATATCCTCTGACTTCTCCTGGCTCTGACATCGCCTTTTTCTTACGCCGGGCCAGTTCAGTCGCAGAGACATTCTGTCCGAGTTCGGCGTCTGCTTCGATATGGCTGCTGCAGCACAACAGCAGCCCAGTTCAGTCGCCATGCAAGACCAGCAAGCTCTGGTCGACATTCGTCCCCTGCTCCAGAGGCTATGGCCGGATCCCGAAAAAGAGAAAGTGACGGCCCACGAGATCGCCGAGGCCATCTCGCTGATTTTCGTCAATAAGCTGAGCCCTGTCCAGACGGGCTCGCTCTTAACGGCCCTCCATTTCACAGGCTGGGATCGTCGCGCCGATGTCCTGGCCGAAGCCTCGGCCGCCATGCGCCGCCACGCCGCGAAAATCGACTTCCCGAGCCTGGAAGATGCGATATCAAACAAACGGCGGGCGGAGGGGAATTATCTGGGCGGATTGGTGAGTGGGAACCCTCATGGCATGGTTCTAGGAGGTGGCCACGAACAGCCTGCAGAATTTGTAAATGGCAAGGTCAAGATATCATATTAACGTGTTCTGCAGTGCGACATCGTTGGCACAGGCGGCGACTCTCACCAAACTTTCAACATCTCCACCACATCCTCCATCCTCGCCTCATCCCTGCTCCTCCTCGCGAAGCATGGCAACCGCGCGTCGACTTCCAAGTCCGGCTCGGCCGACCTGCTCATGAACATGCAGCCAAAGCCTGCACAGATCGCCCGCATCACTCCCGACACTATCTCCACCGTTTACCAGTCCACCAACTACGCTTTCCTGTTCGCCCCCGTCTTCCACCCGGGCATGAGGCATGTCGCTTCCATCCGCAAAGAGCTCGGATGGCGCACCATCTTCAACCTGTTAGGTCCCTTGAGCAACCCCCTCGACGATGCCATCGAGGCACGTATGTTGGGTGTTGCGCGCGATGACCTAGGCCCCGTCTTCGCAGAAGCTTTGCGCATGGCAGGCGCCAAGAAAGGGCTGGTCGTCTGCGGCCAAGAGCAGCTTGACGAGGTGTCCTGCGCCGGACCTACTCTCTGCTGGCAACTGGTCGACAATGGTAACGGCAACGGCGTAGAGGTCCAGCATTTCTTGATCGAGCCCAAGGACTTCGGGCTCAGTGCGCATCCGCTGAGCACCGTATCGCCCGGCAAGGAACCTCATCAGAACGCAGAGATCCTGCGTAAGATCCTGCAGGGGGAACTGCCCGATGACGATCCTATCCTCGAGTTCGTGCTCATGAACACGGCGGCTCTCTTTGTCGCGACGGGCATCTGCGAGGCCGACACGAGTGCTATGGGCCCCGGTGATGATGGCAAAGTCATCACGGAGCGAGGACCCGGGAACGGGCGTTGGAAGGAGGGAGTGAGGCGAGCGAGGTGGACTATCAAGAGCGGCGAGGCCTGGAAACAATGGACCGCGTTCGCCGAAGTCACAAATTCCTTGCCCATATAATAGAGCTAGGGATGTAATAAAAAGGAAAAATTAGAAGATTGTGTTGGCGGGCTGATAATGAGTTTGATTTCTCAGAGAATCCATCAGCGTGCAGAAATGGTGTGACACATGCCTGCTTTTGCCTATGGACTAACCGGCGTGATAGATACCCTTGGCCACGGGATCCGGTGCGTTGTTGATCGGTTAGGTAGAGCGGGATTCACCACCCTGGCCCCTTACTTTACACGGACTGTCTATGATAGAGCATTATATATTTGACTGCATCTGATTCCTCCGTTTCCGTGTGAGTGCTCTAGACGACATCGACCATGATAGACATCTTACCCCGTAGAAGACTTGAGTGGGCACTGCAAGATTCGAGAGCCCTCATCTCTCACAGCCTCTCCCCCCATAAGCAGTACCTTAGTCGCTGGGTGGGGTGGTTGTCTTAGCACCAACAGATCCCCCTTCCCTCGAGAATGTAAGAGAGAAGAGATTTAAAAAAAAAATTTAAAAGAAATTTGAGATTGCGTGAGAAGCAACAGGAGAATGAATGTGGGACTCTCGATCGGGGAATCGAACCCCGGCCACCTGCGAATTGCTACTCATGATGGTTGTATAACAACATCGTAGAATGACAAGCAGGTATCCTTACCACTAGACCAATCGAGATTTATCTGAATGGGAGATTGTTGAAAAGGCGCCTCTGAAATGGGGGTTATAATGTGGCTGCTGAGTCTGGTGGAATTTGGCGGGTGGATTCTCAAGGAGTAGTGTGCCCTAACAAATGGGGTCAACATTGACTAAGTCGGCCTCTAATTTAGCGATATAGCAGTATGCTATACAGACCGCGTTTCAATTGTGAAGGCTTAGTTTGCACCGTTGTAGAATAGAGTCTTATACGTACGTATCTACTTGGACTTATGTCCATAGCTAAACCTTCATAAGATGATGACGGGAATATACGGTGTTGAGAGCACTACGCAGCCGCGAAGTGAAAAAGGGCTACTGAAAGGGGAAACTTACAAGACAGCTAAGAACCTAGACTAAATACGAACCCCTATGCATGTTGTTCATAGAAGTCAACTGAATTAGACTCTTGTCGTGATATACGCAGATTGTAAGTGCTATGAACTTGGTCTCAACGTGATATTTTCTTTATTTGGGTATGTATTTTGATATGAGAAATTCGTAGCATAATCACCGGTATAATAAACGAGTATAATTGAGGCATGATACATTGATGCGGTGCCGAACAGGGATATTATCGTGGCCTATTTGTAGTTGGTATGGGATACATCAGGGCTATATAGCTTACTGCTGGATAACATATAGGTTACCATGGCGGGGACGCGCGTGATTGCTGGATGTCTAGCCGTAACTTAAGGAAACAGTATCTCAAGACGATTCCCGAAATGTATTTTGCTTAATGAGTCCCTCCTCTGTTCCGACACCCTCTCCCCCTGGAAAGTCGCTGAGGACCTCGGCGTGGCCTATACCTGACCTATCTAGATAGCACACCACGAACGGTTCCCTTAAGCGTCGGCTTTCCCTCGATTACGCGCTCACTAATGCCGGTATCCCCGCCACTCCCAACATCGAGCCAACGGGTCAGCAAGTCGTTACTCTCTTTGGGCTTGACACTATCATCACGCGTCCCGACTGTAATGTGTGCAACCTTGTTGACACAGGTCCATTTCTCTTCTTGGTCTAGTAACCGCACCACGACAGCCATTATGCGGTCGTCGAACACGACACGTTCGAGCATGACTTCGCACTCGCCGACTTTGCCATCGACAGATCGGGTCTCAGCTTCGAGAGCCGTGTAGCGCTGCCAAAGCTCGGGATATTGTCTGGCGCTGGCCTTGTGCATCAGTGTAACATGGAAAAGAGGTTGGATGCGTCGTGTCTGCTGGAGCTGCTTGTAGAACCTCTGTACCGGAGATTCGACGCCCTTGAAGGCAGACTCAAGTGCCACATTGACTTCCTTGGCGGGAACGGAGATAGACATATACTCGAGCGGTTTCTTCTTGGGCTCTTTGGGAGGTTGAGCTTCTTGTCGCTTCTGCTCCCTCTTGCTCGTGCGATCAGGGATTTGGTGTTTAATACTCGGCGAGTAGTCCTCGATCGCATTCTTGACAGCCAAGTCCATATCTTCAGCGCTTGGAATTTTCTGAATTAGTAAGGGATACTTCTTGTGAAGCTCATTAACAACTTTCTCCACGTTTGCACGACTACTCTGAGCAGGGTCGAGGTCTATAACGAGGTCGAATCCGTCGTCAGGGCTGCTTCTAGGGTTGCAGGGCTGAAATCTCGATATGAAATTCTCCATGATGCCAATGACCTTATTCTCGTCCGATGCCGCTTGAATAGTCTGGTGATTATCGCCGCGTTTCAGCACCCGCTCTCTTGTAACCCTCCTCACCTCGTCAATGTCGCCATGAGCGAAATTCAGCGCGACGACTCGGGCGTTCTTGTGCTGCATGAGAACATCCTTGATAATCTGTTCTCGCTCTCGGCGTTCGGAGTTATTTCGATCAGCGATCACGACAGGATGCTCTAATAACAAAGACATGATAGCCTGAACCATTCTTGAGGGTCGGTTCTTGCCCTGGATGTTGTCGTTCTGAATAATCCCCCAGTTAAACAGGTGCGTTAAAGCTACGCCAACAGTGGTTTTCCCGCACCCGATTGTCGCAATTGGGACAAGGACAACATCGCCTGACACGGTGGCAGTATCGTTACCAAAAATATTTTCAAAATTTGCAGCGTCGGAGCCTTTGAGATTCTTGTACGCCAGAAATTCGTCCCGAAGAGCGATAATACCGTGGTTTTGGCTGTAAAGCTTGCCCAATTTCGGGTCTTTGGCTAACCTCTGGCGAGCATACAGCAAGTACTCTTCGGTGATCTTGACGTGCTTCTTGAATTTGGGAGGCCGTCCAGCAATAAGTGCTTTGGTGCATTCTCGCCACTGTCGGTACATCAAATAGGGCTCTTCGAATTTATACTTGAAGAACCAGTCGTTGTATTCTGTCTGATCACGACTGGATGCCAGGCTGCAGCGGATGACAAAGCCTTCAACGTCTCGACCCTCGTGAGCACCAGACTCGGCCACTTCTTCCAAGAAAGCTTTGACCATGTCGATATCGTTAAAGGTCTGCAGCCCAACCATTCGAAAACCCCAGTCATCAGCGAATTGCTGGACGAGGGGGCTTGGATAGGTCATGAACTCTGGGACGTTGACGTTGACACCATGGAGATACAACCCGGCTTTGTCCGGGCCGTAGGCTAAAATATGTTCCTCGAAGTCATCGTCACATAGTTCGGCAACGGCTGTGACGTTTCTACGCCGCAGCTCCCGTGCGAACTCTTCCCTTGTTTTGCCAATCGTGGCCAGCTGTTTGTCGACCCACCTCTCACCAGCACTGGCGTGGCTGACCTCGACATCACTTCGATCCCCTGTCGAGTGCTTGCTGCAAACAAGCAAGGTCTCATCCTCCAAACCGCTAATAAATATGATGCAGCCGTTCTCTTTCAGAGTGAGCTCGTATGGGCCTCGCGTGTTTCGCCGAATATTGTCCCATCTGGTGTCGTAAACCTCGTCGACGTTGAAGAACTTATCATACCCCCTCACTGCAATTTCGTAGTCGTTGCGACGGTTCTTGGTTGTGAACAGGCCGCGCGCATAGGTAGGGAGATTGGGCTTCTTGTAATCCCAGTCCTGGAAGCGCCACGAATCGACACTGATGCCGTCTGGCGACCCATGAATCTTGAAAGTGGTCTTCTTCACCTTGAAGCCCTTGCTTGCTTTGCCCCCCCTGTCGTTCAGAGCGCGGACGAGCTGAGAGGTCTCCTGAGAGTCCTGCTCATGGTAAGGAGTCTTGGGAGGGTCCATGCTGATCGGCCTGAGCTGGCGGGGAGAATAATTCCGCGTAGAGCACACCCAGGGTGCGAGGTCAGGCAAGTGCCGTGGAAGTCGGCACGCCAATGACAAGCGTACCAGCGCCAGATGTGACGGAGTCGAGGCGAAGAGCGAAGCAGCCAACGTGGAAGCAGGGCAGCTGGCCAGTTGTTCTCACTATTGTGTAAGTGGTCCGCCTGCAGCAGGTATATGAACAGGTATATGCGGGTGGAGCGACGGGACAGGACGGATGCAGGAGCAAGGAGTTTGATTTATCTGGAATCTGTGGTGCACAAGAGGCGCCGCGTGGTGTAGGCACAGAGCAAAGTGGAAACAAGGTACAATGTCATCTGTGGGGGAGATTCGTCTGGTTGGTCGCGTGAGTCACTTCTAAGGTTATGGGCACCTGAAGCCGTAGGGCTGTGCCTGACAGAGGAATAGCTACTAGTAGGTAGAAAGGCAGGTCCTGTCTATTTAAGGTACCTCATGTCTTGGGATGAACGACCCCGAAAGTTGCTTCAGAAGTTGCCATGAGATTTTGAGTATCCGTCTAAATTAGAGCCTTAGCTAGGTACTTCCGGTACCTAAGAGGTAGCGAACGAACGCTGTCGTAGCTTTTTTTTTTTTGCCGCACCTGGATAAGCAACCTTACCCAAAGAGGCAATCAGCCCTCTCACCCTGGGCCAAGGAACAGAGCAAAATGCCCCGCGTTTAGGTACCTACTGGGTAGGTACTGGGTTAGGGATGCGTCACGCCGCGAACCCCTCCCCCAAAAAAAGTTCCCTCTACCATCCAATCTAGACAGTCGCCCGCTTCTGTTCAACTCAAGAACCCCCCCAATGCATCTACCAGTGTCATCTAGTTAGATAATTTCTCAAGATCACTTGTGCCCGGGGACCGTTTCATCCACACCCGCACCGGTCCACCAAGAATCGCCACAATGCCTGCCAATCCCTTCCATCTCGCCGCTGACAACAGCCCGGCGCTTCTGCCCCTCCTCCGCGAAAACCCAGCGCTCGCTGGCCGACAAGACGACCACGGCTACTCTCTAGTACATGCCGCCGCCAGCTATAACAACCTGGACCTTCTACGTACCCTTGTCCGAGAGTTTAATGTCGATGTGAACCTGCGCGATGAAGATGACGAGACAGCCCTGTTTGTTGTCGAGACGGTCGATGCCGCCAAAGTCCTTATCGAAGAACTCGGCGCCGACATCAGCATTCGAGGGTCTGATAACTCCACTGCTCGCGAACGAATCGCCGAGGAGGGCGAGTTCCCACAGGTTGCTGAGTACCTGAGACTGAAGGAAGCAGAGCAAGCCAGCCATCTATTGAATGGAGCTAGTGAATCCCTACAGGAAAGCAGTGATATGCCGCCCTTGCCCAACGGGCTCAACCTTTCCGTCAGCGCCGTCGCCCCGAACGAAAACGACGAGAACGAGGTTGATCCAGAGTTCAGACGGCGGATAGAAGAGCTGGCTCAGCGGGGGGATTTTCATAGCGAAGAGGGCCAGACCGAGCTCAGACAGCTTCTCCAGGACGCAATCGCAGGCGGAAACCTCACAGACCGCAATGTCCGTCCACGCCAGGATTGAGCATCACAAGATGCATGTTCTCCAACCGCAACGACAGACCCTTGAAATGCTCATTCGTGTCCCTTGATCTCCCAGAGAATATACTCTCCTGGGCAGCTTGGCGGCCTCATCAAGGTACAATCTGCACCATATCCAATGGCAACTCGATTGAACGGTGTCGTGCTGAACGAAAACCAT